TCATTATTAAAACGTTTTTTTATTTCTGAAAATTTTAATTGCTACCAAAAACAATTTATTTCCATATTCCAACGCTCCAAGTGATGCTATTGATCCTTAGACACACTCTCGCGTTCAGAATTCTGAATTTGGTTCGCTGTTCTGTGACTGAGGACAAGATGAAGACACATCTAATAATTTTCGGAATAGTCTTCACTTTCTTCGAATAACTCATTTCTATCATTAAACAGCTGATTTTTACTAACCGAACTAGATACGTTTTTATTTACTGGACATTTAGCAATTGATGGCAATGGACAAGAATCCAAATAAGAAAACATTATAAATTAACTTTCGACTAGCACTAACCTTGTGCATTGTTATTTTATTTTATTTATTTATTTTTTGTTGCAAGGAAATCAAATTCGATATACCAAACTATTAAAAAAGAGGCCCAGAGCATGGAGTCTATCAGATATCAATGTCATCCTAAGCTGATATTTGCATTTACTATGCATTTCAATTAAGATAACTCGGAACTATACTATTCACGTAAGGAAATTGTAAACTGTGCACAATAGTTGGTAGGCAATGTTAAGGATTCTTGCGGTGTCTGAATTAAGATACTTTTACCCTGGAATAAATACTTTTACTTTATATTCGATATAGTTTTACTATGTGAAATATGTAGTTTTACTATATAAAATATGATAAACCTTCCCCTACTTCTTGGGACCTTTTAGACCCTGGGGGTCATCGAATTCATAATTTCATTTAGGAAGCTTAGTACCTTCGATTATTAAGAAGTATATAATTCCACTTTATCTAGATTTTGATATTTTAGAGGTTTGATTCATTTTGATTCCTTTCGTACCCGCTCATCAGACCCGCGGGTGTTAGTCAGGATCAATTTGTGTTTAACATAATACTGATTCTAACCAAAACATACGAAAATTAAACGCAAAGTATGTTATAGGAACGAAAATAAATTGTACACGCCTTCCCAGAGGAAAATATGAGACAATTTAATTTCATTAATTAAAAAAATGAGTCCTACAAAATGTAACCTTTTTACATCAACTTGATAATGTGAGACACGGGAGTCATACAATTCCAATTCGTGAATTCCAACTTGGTGAACCACATTTCCCTGATTATCATGGTGTGCAATCAAATAGTTGATTCCTCATCTAAGAATTACTGGGTTTAAATCAAAATTAACGCCCAGCGACAATCTCTCTTTTTCATCAATCAATTTCTTTCGGCAATTTTTTGAAAAACAAAGTTGCACGAAAATTACAACGAATGTCTGTTATTCAGCAGAATAGATTGGTACGAATGAATAATATCCTGTTGCCAATTTTTTAACGTTGGTTTCGGATTTTTTTTTACTTTTGAATTATCGTTACAATATACTAAATAATCACCACATGAACAAAAAAACTGATACTGGATTTCTGTTACACTTCGACGAGGATTGGGTCCTTAACACATAAAAGCTCATTAGGGCCATCGACCGCCGGTAAAACACACAGTGATCCAAAGGGAATAACATTAAACAAAACAAAAGGTAAAAGACAAATGTTAAAAATCTTAAATGGGTATGTTAACACAAAAGATTACAGCGGTACGTCAGTGTCTATTATATAGTCCAACATCTTTCAGGTAACCTGGAATTTTACAAATCTCAACAGTTTCAAAAAGGGTTTTTAGACATGTAATTTTACGATAAAAACATTCTAGAGTAGACAGAAGGTCAATGCAGTCCAATAAGAAATGTTAAACGGTGAATGGCTCATCACATCCTATGCACCGAGGATTACCTTCCAGGGCGACCAGAAAACTCTAGAAAGGTTCAATAAGTTAAAACAAGTTATGGTCACTCCCACATCTCCTTCAATATGTGGTAGATGGAGAATGTTTACTCAACATCTTAGGCTTTAATGGATTGTTGGCGGTTGCCGGAAATATTTGTCGAATTGGCTACCTGGAGAACAATGGTAATTACAAAAAAAACAAAAAAACAAAAAAAACACCATATGTGAAAGGGGATCAACTTGGGAGTGAAATAGATAAGAACAAATCATTCGAAACGTCTCAAAGGAGACGTAGTCTCCAGTAATTGATATATGGTGACAGCAGAGGATTTCCGAATACAATCTATCATTAAACACACAATACAAGCAAATTAGGTTTCGAAGGAAGCTTACACATCCATCAGTGAGTATTTACATTTGAGTCTTGTTTATTTTATCCAAGCTCACGCTCTGTTCCAAATCTTCTGTAATCATGTGGGGCTCCGTGATCCTTGTCCACTGTTTATACCAGCAGCTGTTGGTAAAGGATCATATGTGGATTTACAATCGATCTTAATTTAGCACTTGGTACACATCTTTTCTGGCTATACTCTTAACAGAGCACAGACAGTCATAATACATATTGTCACTCGCCTGACGGAGTATACAATGTACGTTTTAGTGCCGTGAATTATCATATCAGAGACCTGAATTCGATTACTGTCGAGGACATAGCAGGAATGTGTGTATTTTTAAACATTGGTAACGGCTTCAAATCTATAGCCGGACAGGGTGATGAAGCATTCTACTGTCCCACCTAAGTGAAATTCTCAATAGTGCAGTCTAGTATGGTGACCTGAATTCTCAGCTTTTACTTTGATAATGAATTGAACATAGTACTGCATTCGTGTAATTATAACGTAAAATACTCTAGAGAGAATTCTGAACATTGAATGCCTTTTTATCATTATCATGGATGAAACAACGCCAGAAGCTATTAATGGTCTGTCACTAAATTTACTATCTTTATAGAAATATTGAGAAGAGTCCATTAGTCGCAAGAACTTGCCTCTGATCCATTTCTCTGATTTTGACAATGAATAATGTTTAAATCAACTAATGGACAAAAACATGCTTCCTTTAATTACGATATTATCATACTTAAATATTTTGAAAGTGATCTGGACGTGCCTCTTCTTAAATTAATTACATTTCTCTGAAAGCGTTATCACAATATGTTGTAAATTGGATACTTCAGCCCTTGCAAACATATATAGGCCAACTATTGCTATTTTTAAAAATTAACAGTTACTAAAATTAAGTTGAGATACGACCATCAATAACTGTATTCCACCATAATATTTTTTTGGTTATTTTTGCCGAGTTCTGGAATGGCACAAATGTGCACATGTGTCAATATTCACTTTACGTCATATCCTGTTGTATGGATAATCAGGTACTTCCTATTAGGTTCTCTCCGTCCGTTTACTAAGTTACTTATTCGATTTTTTCATTAAGCCACCAACGATGCCGCTAGATAAGTGCATTACCATTCAGTCCGTTACTGCCATACTAATGTTACAGAGCGAGTCCCAAAGGTGTCTGCGACAATAATGGTACGAGTTAACGCCCCTGTCACATGCCATGGGAGACGTGCATCACTTTTATACTCGGAGATTTTCTGGATTACTAAAAACGAAGTCGATCAAGAGAATTTACATTAGATACTCGTAAAAGGAATGAAATTGGCAATAATGGAAATGTTATTTTCACCATTGTCTTGTCATAGATGCAAGTTGTTTTCTATTTGCGTTATTGCGTTCTCGACATAGACCACTGCACGAGTCGGAAAGGGGATACTCTGGTACTTGTTTCCTCTCATCACTGAACCGGCTCAGGGCTTGTTTCGCCGATATCGTCTGGCAAGGTGACACCGGAGAGGCAAAGAATGTGGACTCCTGTATTTCACTTCTTGATCATGGAAGGGGGGCACTGCAGAGAATACAGGGTTTTCTACCGTGGCTTCTACAAAGGGTAAATTAAAGAGATCAACATATATCTCCGTTCTCCTTAGCAACACTTGCAGTCTTGACCTTTTCCTTTTTTCATACGAATTGACACACTTCATCGCTGCTTGCGACGACTTAAAACCCCATAAATAAGGATCGTGAGCAGTAAACTCGGACCTCCCTTCCATTATGTTCATTGACAATACGAAGGGGCGCGAATATACTATTTACAACAGCAATGGTCATCGGTAGACGCTGTTCCAAATCAATGAGGGAAAATAATTCTAAAACGTTCACCGGGTTTATTGATTGACCCATGATTTAATTTAGACCCTTTCTCTAGTAGACACATTTGGGTACCAGGAGGTTGAAATCTGCAATGCTGATTAAACTAGAGGATTGATAATTGATTAACATGTCAGACTTATTTCGTAAAAATAAAACGATTAATGGTGTTATTCCAGATTGCCATTCTTAATGTGTTATGTCACTGAAACACCTCAAATGTTTTTGCCAACAAAGGCGAAATAATATCACTCAAAACAGATAGATATTCAGGACAGTTTTGGTTAGTATGAAACAACTCTTTTTTTTTATTCTGAAACCTTTGTTTCAACATTATATTTATACTAAGGGAGAACCACTTGTATCATTTCCTTAAAGGACTTGTATCAAAATTTACTAAAAGTCACGTTTTTTTTTTAGAGTATTGCAATATATATCTGAAGTAATTTTTATATAAGTTTCGGTGAATTATTTAAAAAAATAAAATGCTTTAAAAACGATTTTGCTTCAATATCAACGTTGCTATCACGAAACGGCATTTATGCATATTTGGTGACCGAAAACGAGGCTCTAAACTCAGTGACGTCAGACTTGAAGGACAGCCTCATCAATCAACCGCAGGTCAGTAGAGTTGCGACCTATGAAAGTTTTTTTTCAATTGTTTCTTTGTGTTTTTATCTTTAGAAGATAACTCAATCATTTGCAATTAAATAACTTTTCCGAGATCATCAGGATGCCGTATCGTGCCGCATTCGGCTGCAATAACTAATCCAAGAAGGGATGCGGTGCAAGTTTTTTCGCCTTTCCTAAAGATGAACGAAAAAAAATTATGGATCCACTACTGTAGACGTCCAAACTTTGAGCCGAAGGCATATCATAAGCTGTGTTCCGTGCATTAAACAAAGCCCCAATTTGATCGTGACCCAGAAAGATGACGGAGTTAGGATATCCCAGTGCTAAAGCGAAGCATGTTTCTAATGCGGTACCTGACGTACACCTGCAAGCTGAAAGCCGCTATCCCGACGAAAATAGGCCGAGATCACCTGTCAACACTCCACGGCGAGGAACGTTTGTTAAACATCAGAGGGCTGAGGTAAGAGAGCTTAGCCTTAACAGCATGTATCTGGAAGATAAATGATAAATAAAAACATTATGTAATTACAATTTACAGTATAACGAGTTATACATTAGGTAAACTAGCACTGGGCCAATGCACACATGTTATTATACGTCCCAGCCATTTATAAATAATCATTTAGTGTCATTGAAATGTCAATTATGTCTTATTCAATGACGCCTTGGTTTTACTTTGATCTTTTCCTGGTGATAAATCCCACACTATGCGACATTTCAGTTATCACACGGTTGTCTCTGATTGGTCCACACCTCATTAGGGCGCTGGTGCCCATTTCCAAGTGGGTGAGACAGGTAAACAAAGATAAAGGAAAGATTTCGAACAAATATTTAATACATAGAAAACACATAAAAAGGGAAATTTTGTTCAAATGATATTCGTCGTTTTGACGTTAGTTAACACATCCAAATAATTCTCTAAAATTACAACGCTTTAATTACGCGAGAGCAGAGATCGGCACATGAACCCTGTATAACCCTACATTGAATAAAAGTTCACATACTTGTCGACGGCCTGTTATAATGTTATATCATCGAGATCGCCGAAAACACCTGCGTCGATGTTTCTAAAGTCTTTCCATACGTTGTCTAGATCTGACATCTCTGACATCTACTAATGAAATGAATTATTACTGGACAGGAGAAGGGATGGGTAGGAAAATAACGGGAAAATCATCGACTTGGCATTAATCGGCTCCTAAAAGGTTCTAGCTCCGTCCCTTGGCACGTGGATGAGAAAACCGCGGTGGTCATTTGATAAACCAGATACATATTCAATACTAAGCGTAAGCTAAGTGACTGTATGTATATATAATGTGTTATCATAATCAAGCACAGTACTGGTACCCCCTTGCTACCCCCTCAAAAATAATTAGAATCGAAGATTAAAATAAATAAAACCTTATTCTTTGAAATAGAAATATATTGTAGGAAGTTCTGTTTTGTAAAATTTGATTTATATTTATTGATAGTATTTGTATTGTTTTCATGATTTTTTTATCGGTAATAAAGCAAGTCCAACAAGAGACAACTCATGATACTACTGACGATGAGATCTCAGAGTGTGATGATAATCCACTTGATTTTCAGCCTATGATAGCCGCTTAAGACCAAGTTAGTGAACCATCAGATGTGAAATGAAGTCGGTAAAGTGTCATGCTAATGTAATCACTCAACAACGAACAAGGAGGATACATGTAGGAGAACCATCGTTGTTGGACTTTTCTCTGCAGAAACCTGTAATGTGCTCAGTAGGAGTGCAGTGTACATTGTTAAAAAGTCCAGATGAAATTTTGTTGAAAGAAAAAGTAAATGAATCTGATGACAGTGAAAGTGAACTACAATGTACATGTAGGAGAACCATGTACATTGTTAAAAAGTCCAGATGAAATTTTGCTGAAAGAAAAAGTAAATGAATCTGATGTTGTACAATGTAGAGACTTTTCTCTGCAGAAACTAGGAGAACCATTGTTGTTAGACTTTTCTCTGCAGAAATTGTTGTTAGACTTTTCCCGTAATGTGCTCAGTAGGAGTGCAGTGTACATTGTTAAAAAGTCCAGATGAAATTTTGCTGAAAGAAAAAGTAAATGAATCTGATGACAGTGAAAGTGAACTACAATGTACATGTAGGAGAACCATTGTTGTTAGACTTTTCTCTGCAGAAACCCGTAATGTGCTCAGTAGGAGTGCAGTGTACATTGTTAAAAAGTCCAGATGAAATTTTGCTGAAAGAAAAAGTAAATGAATCTGATGACAGTGAAAGTGAACTACAATGGAAAGATGACAATACAGCTGATGACCAAGATTTTGATGTGATGAAAGTGATTTAGATGAAGATAACGAGACTGAGGAGGCAGTTGTAATCAGAAATGATGTTGATCCTGAAGATTAGAGACAGTTCTTGGTATCAGAAAAAACAATTACACAAACTTTCATCTGTATGTCACATTTGTTGCTCTAAATGTGAGCCTTAAATCAAGTTTACAAGGGGAACTCTTATTTCAGCTACAATGAAATGTGTAAATGTACACGCAGAAATGTGGGAAAATCAGAAAAGTCATCGTGGTATGCTAGTATCAAATCTCCTTGTTGCAGGGGCTATTCATTTTAGTGGAAATATTTCAAAGACTTGTTGCTAAAGGTATAAAGTTATTATCAAGCAGTATCTCTATCCATGAGCACTAGACTATTTAAATTTATCTCTCGATCTCTATTTGGTTCTTCTTCTTTTTTGTATTAGAGGGAAACCTGAAATGTTTCTGGATTAAAATTCTACCACTCAATGGTTTACATTATTGGTTTTACATTTTCGTAAAATGTACCAAAAAAGTTGGGGGCAGCAGCGAAAAAAAGACAGTGTGAGAGTATCCGCCCTTGGATAAAAAAGCTTGGTTAACCATTGCTACGGGATGTCTGCTTTCTGTGGATACAATGTTGACTGGAAACTTGGGATCTGAAAATCTGTCTCGAACCATGTTACTAACCAACATGACCAAGACTGGAAATATGTTGCCTGTCATCATGGACCTATCACAGAAGAGAGATTGTGGCTGAAAGAAGATATTGGTTTAATATTAATTTAGACAGATGGTTAGTTTACAATTATATATCATTATTATGATAGTTGTTGTCTCCCATAATCCATCATTTATGACTATAGCTATTATAGAAAATTAACCTATTATTAATTTATCATTTTATTTCATCAACCTCTATAGTTAAATCTTGTTTGCAGTTGAATGCTCACAAAATTATCTCGAATATAAACACGGCTAAGTGATAATTGAAGGCTTGAATTTGTAATGTATTATTTCCTGTCTTTTATTATTTGACCGAGTTTGACTAGACCACACAAAATGCTCCGAGAGGTGGTGGAAAGCAAATTCCTTCTACGTCACATACAAAAGCTTTCTCCAGTGCATCACACCTATGGACTGGAAGTATTTCATAGCGTAGTCAACAACTTTGCACCAAAAAGCACCCACATCTATTACCCTGCTATGGTGGCAAGGTAAAGCTAGAAAAATACTCAAGAAGTGTCACACTGCAGTATCTTTTCTCAGTAACATTTGTTAAATTCTCAAAATTGATTTGATACCTACCCTGTATTTAGCAAATTTGTTTTATGTTCAACCTTTTGTATGGTATATTCTTTGGAAATTATTAGATCCTTACAATACAAAGAACAAGTAAATGAAAGCCTTTAGAATGTCTTTCTTTGTTGTATAAATTCTTTACTTCATTGTTACAGACTCAGTATTGTTGGCCAACATTTCAATGAAAATGGAAAGCCACACCAGGCAACTACTCTAGATGGACAGCTTTGCTGGCGAGTAAGCTATCCCAAAGGAAAAAAGGGAAAAACGGTTGTAGTGAAACTAAACATAACAGCTGTCACCTGTGGGAAAGAGAAAATGCATCATAATTTTCACCAGAATACATATTGGTCTATGTGGAGAACATCTTACCAGTACACTGTTATATTTGTAATGTTTTGACAAAAATGAAGGAAAAGTAAATCTTTACAATCAGCATTTTATGTTGTTTTTCTTTCAGATTATATTGACAATATGAGGCAGCCATTGATGGAAAGGAGACGACTGTTTCCAAGCTACCAGGAAGCCGTTAGGGAAGCCAACAAATTCCTTGGATATAAACCTCCAGCTGTGACTAGTTTTTTGCCAAAGGTTGACAAAAGAACACTGATTTTACAGCGTCGGTCACGTTTTGCTAACGTCCAAAATAATGGAGCCCTTGACAACACAGTTATCTTCGACATATCATTCTGCTTAGACATTTAGGAGAAGTTTGCTTCCATCTCTACACTGTGGTAATCATTACATTCAGCTGTCTGTTTTGAATCCAATTATTTAGTTTTAAATCTTCAAGTTGTCAAAGAGTTAAGACATTGATATTCAACACTAATAGAATTTCACCCCTGTATTTTGTAGACTGGGATATCTCATCTCGAAGGGTGATTTTTTAAAAAGTTTATAGAGCTAGAAAATTACCCCAGGGGTTGAGATATCCACGTCTTCAAAATACAGGGGTGATGAGTTATTTTTCTTCCATGGTTTAGAAGATCTCTCCTGCATGGTCCACGAAAAAATCCATGAAATCGATACCATCATCGGTGACGTGTTTATACTACTAGAGATGATGACATTATCCAATCACTTCGGAACATCCCAGTGTATGCCAGATGTCTTATCTACCCAAATAAAGACATATTTATCTTTCCCGATATAACACAGAGATTACTCTAAATTATGGGAGAGTAAAATGCCTTGTCAGGTGAAATTTGACATGAAATATCATTATATTGATCAAGAAATAAAGAAGACATCGTAGGAGGAAAGCAGAATTATTGGTTTTTATTTTTGTTTTATTTTGGATGTGGTCTCATTTTGGTCTGGCATATCTAAATCATGTTGCATTGCTCCGAAGGCAAAGTATGTCACAACACAAGCTGGAAGAATTTTGCTGTTTCCCCGACCTAGACATAGCCATATCTAGAAAACAAACCTCCTGTGTGGCGATTAGCCCTGAACATAAATAGGCAATAACAATAACATTGCGTTAGTTTTTATTGTTCTATAGTTCTGTTACCATTGTTTTACAATGCACATGTATTTACCAAAACAAATCAAATAATGTTAAAACTTTTCAAAAGAGATTGTTGTGTTTTGTATGTTTCAAATGTTGTTAAAATTTTCAACAAACTTTCTATAAAAACAAAGTCAAATGTGTATTTTAAAATTTTTAACTTGTGTACTAAATGTAATGAAATAGTTATGAAATAGTTATATGATTTATCACAATTCAATAAAGAAACTCACTCATGAATTGGTTCATTGTCATCCAGCGGTCCATCATGCTGTACAAATGCATACACGCTAACTTCCAGGACGTTCCTGTTTAGGCAGTTGTCTATAAATCTCTGATGATGCGTAATGCACTCCAGCCCTGCATTCTCATTTTTCTGCTTGATAAAACCGAATTCAGCACAAATACTCTTCAGACTTCTCTGTCACTTGGCCTAACCTCTTCTGAATTTGCTGCACCGCCGTTCACTCTAGGCTCAAACTGATACGGAAGTACTTACATATGCCTGTGGATTTCAACGAGGTCTAGGTCTTCCCGCGAATCATTTCGAAATCTGATATGCGTGACCTAAATCGTTCCGCTTTTGTTTACTCTTTTGGAATGCGGGAGAGTTATGCTAGTCTGACATCATGACGTCACGTGACAGGTAAACTCATTAAACGAAACAAAACAAATAAAGTCAAAATTTCACACCGCAGAAAATATTTGTATTTGTTTCATAATGTTCTTGTATAAATTTTGAACAGAATTAAGTAGAAAAAGCACGTTATAAAATATTGATAAAAGTCCTTTAATATATTTATTTGTTTTAACGTCCACTTTAATGTCTTTTGATCCATCCGCAGATGAGACAAGATAGGAAAAAGAGGAGAATTGAAAAATCCGTCAGTGAAAGTAGATTGCATCACTACATCCACGTACGTAGAAGACTTAATAGCTTACATTTTCTCGGAAGAAGATTTCTGTGACTTTTTAAATTGAAATGCAGATGTAATTCAACGCAGAGGCAGAAAATGAATTAAATGGTATAGCAATTTAATTTTTGTTGTGTAACTTGGCATTTTGATTGATGTATAATACACTACCAAAACCTTAACGTATTTTGTTGTATTAGATATAATAAGACTTCAATGTTAATGCATCTACCAAGACAGCAGGTCTAGTGACAGAAGTTGACGTCGTAGAAGACGTGCGTAAGGATTCTAGCTTTGAAAGAAAACTTTGGGGCAAGAATTGCACAAGAATCGATTTGTTCTGCATATATGTTTTTACAGAGGTTCTGTTGACGCCACCATCTTGGTACAGTGCGGTTCATATTGGAAGTACAATGGAAAAACCGAGATAAACATTCAAATTGGCAGTTCAGATGAATAATGCATAAACCGTTAAGCTATATCACAAAAAGATGATCCTTTCAAAATCGCTAGAATAATGTAAAACAAAACAATGAGGAATATTTAAGTTGACTGACAAACCAGTTATATTATATTTGCTCGAATTGCTTATCATTAAAAAAGACCACTCTTAGACCACTCATGAAATTAGATCTGGATGTTAAAAAGCAGTGATCTAAAATTTCAACCAAAACTTCAAACACCTTTTATAAACACATTTTCATACTGTTAAGCCCATCACAGCTGTGTTTGTTAATTAGTCAAACCACACGTGATGGAAGTAACATAATACAGTAACAGACTTATCATCTGACGTGTACAAATTATACTGTTGTGAAGAATCCAAAATCGGTTTATTGCTCTAATGGCAGTTATACATTTGCTGATTTTTACTTTCTCCTTTATCCAAAACTTTTACTGACGACATTTGGACCAATTTTGGGGTTTAGACCAATTTTGGGTTTCTACCGTTATCTGGTATATGGATTATCCTCCATATACGATCACGGCAGATAGTTATGATGGAGAGTGGCTGTGTATCTTGTAAATACCACCACTGTCAGATCTGTCTACGAGATGTAAACGCCGTATTCCGGAATTTTCCATCTGCCTCTCCCTACGTTAATTAGAAATACACTTGGATCACACTGGGATTGGTATCACTGAGAAAGATTCCGTCCTGTGTGTTATTAATTATCAGATAGACACATGGGTTGTCCATTTACAAGACAAACTTATCCAACCTTCCGGAAATTGAACGAGACCATTTTCACTTTATATTCCTATCCTTAAACGTCTCTGCATAAGACAGCCGTCTGCAACTACTTGGAACATATTTTTTCGAAGACATTTGTTCGTCTGTTGGAGACAGCGAACGGACAATGTTAACGACGGCGAAGCATAAAAGTCTGCTGTGCATGTCAAGGTATTCTGAGTTACTATTTACATACACTTTTTAGTCTTTTCTTACAAAAACAATTATACTAAGGTCCATCCGAATCTTCAAAAGTAGGTACTATTTGCTTTTGTGATTAGAAAATAGCTTTTAAGACAGGAACGAAGGGGAATAAATTATACATTCACTTAACTAATTTGACGACAGTTCTGTTACTGCAGACTGATTTTTTTTTCTTTTTGTTTCCTATTAATTTTATCGGAGACTCCGTTTGAAAATGCATATTCCGCGTCTTGCTTCTTAAAAGTAGACAGTGCCGCAAAGGAAGCTTTATCGCTAACAACAGTTGTTTTTAAACTTCATTTTACCGATTAAAAACCATTCATTAAACATATTTGAACAACTGCGTGGCAGTAGGAATGGAATACATATACCAACAATAAATTGCCCTCCGTAAAACATATTATCGGTGAATGGTCTCCATGATATAGAGACAACAATAAAGACGAAGTTGCCCTTGCCCGTCTTCGAATATGCCATATCTATCGTACACACTCATATATGTTGAACGGCGATGCACAGGATATGATGAGCCCTTCATCGTTAAACATTTTATATTGGACTGCATTGACCTTCTGTCTTCTCGAGAATGTTTTAATCGTAATAGATATTACAAGTCTAAAACCCTTTTTGATACTGTTGAGATTTGTAAAGTTCCAGTTTACCTGAAAAATGTTGGTCTATATAATAGACTCTGACGTACCGCTGTAATCTTTTGTGATAATATACCCGTTTAAGATTTTTAGCGTTTGTCTTTTACCTTTTAGTTTGTTTAATGTTATTTCCATTTAGATGGCTGTGTGTTTTACAGGTTGATGACCCTAATGACCTTTTTATGTGTTGACGGGCCGTTATGAATGTTATAATCATGATAATAATAATAATATTTCATCGTCTCCTACATTTAATATGGAACCCGTTCTAAACAGCCTTTAAAATCACCTTTTCCTGTTTCGCCGTTCTGATGGTTACGTCGATGAACAGAACTATCAATTGCCATCATAAATGCCAAAATGAATGAACAAATAAATAAATACAATTAGATTTAAAACCTTAATTCAACACAACCTGAAAGCTAATCAAGAGTTTTATGCCTTTTTCTTCTTCAATTGGCAATCGGGAATTTTATTTGATGTGAACATTTTAGGTTTGTAGCAAAATATAGAGGTTTCAGTCATAGGGTTTCTTGTACAATACACATCAAACATCTTCACAGGTTTCACTCCTTTGCATCACTGCATCAGAAAAACACCAAAAAAGAAACATCATTAATAAATAAAATAGCTTTTGATGCGGAACGAAAGCATGACAAAATATGACGCGCCATCACGCTGTTTATTATTATTATTGCAATCTTAACAGCATGAAAGGTCATTAGGGCCATCAACGGGCGAAATACACAGCGATCCAAAAAGGAAATAACATCAAACAACCTAAATATAAAAGACAAATGCTAAATGTCTTGAAAGGTTATATTATCACAAAAGATTAAAGATAATTCACACTGTATAGGAAAGATACTTATGAAGAAAACAGATAAAAAAGTATTACAAACCGACATATATCGCACCAACTTTTCCATAAATTTTTCCTTTTTTGCCAGATGTTTATTTTTGAAATGGAAGCGAAAAGAACAATTAAAACTATTGTCTTAGCACTTACGTGTCAGTTATGTTGTGTCTGAGATGCCTGGCCTGACGTCAGAACGAGGAAGGGAGTAAACTGAATTTCTACAGAGGCTTTACTCAGGAACATCCAGGTGTAGGAAACATCAACAGTGGAGTGTCTTGGTTGTAAAGTCATTGTATCACGCACTGAATCATTTACGATAGGTTAATGTTTTCCC